AAACAGATGATGCTGTGCTGACGTCCGGGGTTAACGAGCTTTCGAGAAGACCAAACATCGCAGTTTAGGTACACATGAACTACACATTCAGCACACCGCACAAAGGCAACTGTTATGCCTTCTTCCCCTCAGAAGTCTCCTTATATTACACCAGGGTTTTAGGCACGACCGGCATCCACTGACAAACGCAGGGGAAACTTCATTTTCAGGACAACGTGTGATTTATGCTCACTATGTGTCATTATGAGAGGAATGTGTCTTGTGTGTTTTCCTATACGTTTGGCAGCTGGGCATCACATGTATGGCGAGCAAAACATTGACCAGTCCGCATGCCTGCCTGGAAAAATCAATAAATCTCTCGCTGCCGCCGCCGCCGCTCTGGGATGGATGGGAAATATCCGAAAATTTCAGCTCGGAGGTCAGAGGTCGTCGGTTACTTGAGTAGGACCAGATGCCGAGAGGTGAGCGGGACAGAGAGAAAAGGAGGGGAACTGAAAGAGGACTTGTTACGTAGGGGAAAAAAACATTTAAATGATCAAAAGCAGTTTGCGAAATAACCAAAAGTTCTCGTTCTGTTGGAAAAAAACAGAATGAAAAAGACACAAAGCAAACACAAGAGGGCACAGAAAGAAATGTAGGAATAAAACGCAGGCATGAATTTACCAAATATGGACACTTCTGACCTCACTATCTCCCTCCCTCCTTCGCTCGCTCTCTCTCGCTCGTTCTGTCTCTCTCTTTTCCCTTCAGTCGGTTGTAATAGCAGCAGGGTGTGTCTGTAATTCAGGGTGTGTAAAGCCATTATATCATCCAGTCAGAAAGAAAGGGACCCATTCAGTGACAGCATGTTAGAAGGGTGGCATGTTAACTCACTGACCACTCTCGCTGTGTAATTACTTGTGTGAATTCATGTGTGCGAGCATTCACGCATGAGCGTCTTGGTGAGAATGTCTGCATGAACACACATGTCTATCTATGTATGTATGTAGTGAAGCTCAGATATGTGTCAAATCTCTGAGCAAATACGTCGTTTAATCCCGTCTGACCCACATCCTCCTACCTGACATACATTAAACGCTTGCGTTTGATTTCCCCTTCGAGTGCAGACTTCTGCCAAGACTACTTGGCTTCCATTCCTCGCTGCTCCTTCAGATAATTAAAGCAAAGCGTTTGTTTGTGTGCACCTAAAAGGTCAGAACCACAAAAAATAATCACTCCGGCTCTTTAGCTAATGCAATAATGAGTGCGGCAGAGTGGTTGCTGTTTATTATGTCTCTCGGTTATCGCCCTGCTTCCAAGTCCTCCATCCTCCTCCTGTCCTTAGTAATCAGTACACAGGAAGGAGCGATAAGACACATGTTGACTCACAAAACTGAGGAATGTGGAGTAAAGGGGAAGAAGTTTTCCCCCCTTCTTTCCTAAGATGCCTCTTGCTCATTCATCAGCTGTACTGAATTGACAACATCTCTAAAGTCAGGACGGTATTGCAGGCCATGTGCACGGGGACGAGATGGGAAGCGATATAAACGGCAACAGAGGCCGCTTTGTCCGCCCGGTATTTGTCTGGAACAGAACAGAGACCTAACAAGGTGGAGGGCAGCATGTGTTTAAAATATAAATACAGATATGTATTTACAGTAAACACAGAATGCTCTCAGGCTGTGCCAGATCCGGGTGTCGCTACAGAGCCGCTCTCTGTTTCTCAGACGCACACACACATTACAAATTTCTACACACAATCCTGCACCTCATACAAATAGATAGAAACCGTCGTGGCCCAGCTACAGCCGATCTCAGACAAACAAGCAGCGAACATTAACGGTTTCGGGCTCTTGAGGAAGGCGGTGCAAATTGGGACAGGCTCGCTGGAAGAATTCTGGCAACTCGGCCTCTCGCTGTTTGTTCAGCAGCAGCCGCTGGCTTCCCCTGTCTTTTTTTGCCTTATATGGTCACAAGAGTGGTTGAGTTAGAGAGAGAGACAGCGGGAGTGAGGGTGGAGGTGTGGTCTATTGTTTTTTGCGGAAGAGGTGTAGGGTTACATGCTGTTCTTGAACCTTTTGGTGGCTGTCGTCATCTATCCAGTCACCTCTTTTCCTCTGTCTGGAAGCAACGGGGATGAGCAGACTTCATGGGGGGTTGTGTAGGAGTGTGTGTGGTGGGGGGAGATTGATTCACGAGTTTGAACCTTGAGGCCTTTCAGGGACTGCTAAGGGGTAAAGAAAGCGGTTGAACTAGTAGATCATTCACAAAGGTGTTGTCATACCGTCCCTGACATCTCAAAACTATGCAGGAATGCCTTTCATCCAGCTCATTCTTCTGTACATCTGGGTCACCGGCTTTACTCGCACCTGCTTATGTAATACCAGTGGAATTCCCCCCCTATTTTTAAAAAAAACAGCCGGTCTCTGCCTCTGGTTGCTACCGAGCAGCTTTTCCTTGAATACATCACTTTGCGATGATCTAATCCAAGCCGCTAAAAGTGCAGATGCAACATGACAAACGATGTGGCCGTAATAAGCAGTCTGAAGGCCCTCGGCATGAATCTGTCAGCTGTGGGCTCCGTAATGACATGCCAGGATGGGAAGGCGGGCAGGGGTGGGAATGTTTTTTCGGTTAGCGAGTCGTGAGAGAAGGAGGGATGATGAAACGACGACCTGAGGGGCTGTCTGACGGCAGGTGATCTCCTTTCCTGCCTCAGCCCCGTCTGACCTCTTTTGGCTGCTGACACAGAAACGCTTCGCTGCCGCTCGCCGTACTTTGCGATAACACATTGGTGAGCTAAAAAGCACCTCTTATTCCTTGCTGTTGTGAAAAAGAAAAGTTAATTATTGACCTCGTCCAGTGATAACGCACCAATTTATTACTTTCCTTTTGATAATTTGCAACCATGGCAACTTTCAGAAAAGCAAAGGATGACATGACCTCCATTTGGACCGGAGAGAGGCTGGTTCGTCAGTTTGCTGAGGAGTCGAAACTGAAAAAATAGAAGTTGAATCAGCTGCATGCTGGCGGGTCAGAGTCCACCCACCTTGCAGCACATGGCTGACGGAGGAGGAGGGCAGTTTGGTCAGGTGCGAGAATGACGACATGCAAAGGTGAAAATTAAAGAGGCGGACGCTGTTGATTTGAGGGGATGACAGACAGGGGGGTAATTTGGAGAGAGGCAATAAGTGGAGGGTGATGTGTAGGCGCTTCATTTGCCCTGATGAGAGGGTTGTGACAACATGAGCAACACCTACATGTTCAGACAGAAGGCAGAAGGCAGAGAGAGAGAGAGAGAGGACGAGGGGCATAAAGCGCTGATGTAATAGAACCGGTGATCCATGTCCCCGGTGAGGAAAAAGTTCACTTTAAAGGTTCTGGAGCACCAGCATCGTGGACCAGAATGAACTGTAGGCCCAACCTCACCCCTCTGCACTTTCATTAGGTGGCTTTCCCCTGCAGGAACTGGAGTTGGGTGCAATATTATTAGCAAATATTAGTAGAGCGACAAAGGTGTGGCATGTCAGCCTATATGGTGAATGTTGTGGTGAGGTTAGAGCGAGGTTTGTCTAAAGGTGCTGGCTGTCCTCTTTGAGTTTGACCAATCAGCATTTGTCTTCTCTAAATTCAACAATTAACATTGAGTGTTTTTTTTTTTTTCAGGGCCTAAATACTTTCTTTCCTCCCTCAAAAACAGCCCACCGAGGGGTTTTAGAGAAGTGGCTCCTGTGGTCAGAACATAAAAAAGGTTTGGGCTGATTTAAGATGACCCTTAACTTCCTACAGCAACCAGAAAGGTTGTGTATATGAGAGTCAACAAAAAAATAATCTAGCCACAATAGTTAGCCAACACTTTGGCTATAGTGAGTTATTGTCCACGCGAGTAATGCTCACATATCTAATCTCTCCCTTCCTGCCTATTCTGAACTGGGTGGGTCTGTTGGACTGACTCATGTACAGATTGTGTTAATTCATGGAGCGAAGCCCTTTGTGGAAACAGACACACAGAGACTGGAGCAGAGAAGGTAAAGCAGAAGAAAGCCACGTAAAAGTAGTACAGACTGTCAGACTACCCTGCAACGAAACTAAAATAATTTGTTTTTAAATTCTTTGGATTTTCAGGACACCAGCTGAACACTTTTGCTTTTCTAATGCGGAGTGGAAGGGCACTCCTGGTCTGTTTACACGAGCAGGGAGGGCCAACAGTTTCAAAGGGAGGGACTCACATGCACCGTCATTGATCTGCACTAAAATGCAACGACATGCCCACATGGCTGGACCGGCTGCCAAGCATAGAAGAGATTACAACACAATCCTTTCACCATGTCAATACATAACAATAGTTTGCTGCTTTACTGATGCAATACTTACGAGGCGTGTCAGAGAAGTTCCAGGACTGGTGTCACAAAAGATATAATTCAAGCTACAAGTTTTCTCCTTCCAACTAATCCCCCTGGAGTCCTTCTCTGCCACGCCGCCATGCACTCCATTGTCACAGCCATCTTGATGTCATCCACGTCTTCTGAACGGGTCGCCTTGATGACCTTCTTGAGCTTGGAGGAAGAGGATCCCACAGAACCAGGTGGGGTGAGTAGGGCGGTTGCTCCAGCACGGAGATGTTCTTCTCAGCCAGGAACTGTGGGATGCTCAGGGCGTTGTGAAGCAGCCACGACTCGTCCTGCCACAACTCTCGCCTCTTCTGAACGAAGCAAACGCCGCAGGATCTCTTTGTAGACGTGCTGGTTGATGGTCTGAAGGGGAAACTCGTAGTTTGGGTTGGAATATATCTTTTGTGACACCAGTCCTGGAACTTTTCTGACACCTTGTGTATTAAAAATCCTATATATTTATGTCCTACAGCCACACAGAGATATCTTATAATTACATCCTCCCCATGCTTTCAAAACAGCTCAGGGAAGGTACATGACTGGAACATTGCATCAGCGTCATTAGGGACAACAAAGCTCATCCTCTTGTCTCTTTCTCAACCGCAGACAAACACGCAGTTCAAATACAAACATATTTTGACTCCTTTATTTCTTCACTTGGTCATGTTTCTGGTACATAGAGTTCCTCTTAGTAATAAACTAAATCAAACTCATATTTGCAATTCCCACTTGACTTTCACAGTCAGAACCCAGAGACACACACACACATACACAGAGAAAGACACACACACACATACAAACATGTATTTTTCATTCTCACATTATTAGGCATAATGGTGTAAAATGACCATGTGTGGCTCTGCGATGTTAGAGAAACGCCACCCTCTTGTGGACAGAAGCAGGAACTACAGGTTAACACTGTCACATACCTCATTCAGTATCGTCAGGCTTTTAAGTTAAATCCTCTCCGCTGCTAAAACTAAAAAACTTTCATCCCTCATGTTATACAGTATAAGTGCGGTACAGCGTTTATCTCCATTCTACAGACTTTTATACGGTTACACGCCAGCTTTGCGGTTCTAGTACGAACAGATTTGCGGAGCCATCACTTATTTAAAAAGACTAGAACCGCTGCAAAATGGAGTACAGCATGAAATAAAAAGGTTAGCGGAGGCACACACCCATCACTGGACGAAAAGAAGAACCGGAGGGAGAAAGAGAGACACAAGCGATAATGCACAGCTGAAGCAGTGTGCCTAGGGATGGGTGTGAGCGTTTTGACAGTTTGCCAGCTGGGACTGTGGCAAGGTTTTGTATATTTAAGGGAGGTTGCTAAACAGGCTCAAAATGGCGGCCTAAGGGCTGCAGACCGTGCCAGAATCATAGAAAAACAGCAGCAGAATGGTGGTGTATGTATGCACGAGCGGGGCGGGGGACAGGTGGTTTATTGTCCAATGACTTTGCTGACAAATGAGTCCAGCTCATCGTCATCTTTGATCCCCACAAAATGGTCGACGACGTCGCCTCCCCGCATGGCGATGACTGTTGGAACAGCCGATACCTGGAGACAGACCAAGTCATCAGATGAAACGAATACGACTTAACAACTTGCAGCAACATCAAATGCTATAAATTGTGTCCCTTTATCAAAGCTTCAGTCACAACAGTTTTTATACAGTCAAGTTCAGGAGATATAAAAAAGGGACGGCGTCTTTGAAGTGGGGATGAAAGAGGTGCTTATCTACAGTCGTGTGTTACAATAGGCTCATCGCCAATGGGGAAACGGATAAGAGCAGCTACATGGAAGCTAATCAATGAGCTCCTATGCAATATATTTTAGCCAAAAATCTGATTAGCAGTTTAAGTGTATGCTATATATGCTAATATTCTCACTACTTTACCTTTCTGTCAGACTAGGGGGCCCATACATCGGCACCAAGTCAATACCAAGATTCTGAACATGTGCTGCAGCTGTCAGGGGTAGACCCCTGAAGATTATTTATGGAGCTGCATCGGCAGGTGTCGTCACATATAAGGACGTTTGAGTCCGTGATCAGGGAGCAGCTACAGACAACCCAAGTCAGAATGTAAACGGAGTCACATTTCCAAGCAGCTCAAAGACAGACATCCAGATCTGAACACAGGATTCAAGCTGACAGAGTTTCAGTTGGTACTTTATATTAACATCTTGTTGTCACATCCTGACATGTGACTGTTTGCATCTGTTGTATGTTCCACACACACAATGTTTATGAAGGCTAATGTTAGCTTGTGTAGGCTAACGTAGCAGTAGTTTATAAGCTGGGTGCTACTGATAATGTTAGCAGAATATTTATAGCAGTGTGTGTGTGTGGCGGTCTCTGTGGTTTTCCTCATGTTTTTAATCTCATCATCAGCACAAGGAGGAAGAAGAGACCAACACACACACACACAGTCACAGAAAATATAACACGACCTCACAAGGATGAGTGAGTTTTAAAACACATTATTGTTTTGTTTTTTTATTAACCCTCCTATTAGTTTCAAATCAATCGACATCTTTTATCCTTGGGTTCAACTTGACCTCAGCAACTTAAACCTCCAGAAAACATCATAATTAAAACTGTGACCCACGTTTATGTGTAAATAATGCTTTAAATAAAACTGAAAAAATGATGTCAATGAGTTATTTAGAGATGTTAAACACTGAATAGGGTCAAATTTATCCTAAAAAAATAATAGGAGGGTTAAATATTTGAAGGCTACCTTCCACAGTTTTGTTAGAATATTTTTTTTCATATATTATTACATCTAACTTAATTATTACTTGCATTCTATTGTCATACATCATAAAATGGCACTATAAAAAAGTTAATTTGGTTTATATTTATAGCACAAGTTTGGTTTAAATAACGTTTTTCATAGTTGAAGGCTCAATCCCAAGTTTTTCCAATAAGAGTTTATCAGGAAATACACTCTTTTCTTTGGTTTATTTTTTGTTGAGGTGTCTGAATTGTTATAGAGAATTGCAGAGCTTCAGCAGTACAGGTACAGACAACCAATATTTACATCTGTACATCAGACAGCCCTTTTCTTTGGCACTGGTACATTTAAACTACAGAAGTTTTACAGTGAAGAAAACGTAACGCCACAGGAAAGAGCTGTCCGTCTGCAAACCAGTGAGAATATTCCACATGTGTACACAGTTTAGCTTCCTCTGCTTTTCCAAACCGGGGAACGACTATGAATAAGCACCTCATGCAACTCCACCTCAGAGAAACCGCACTGTTCCTTCAACCAAATGTCAGCAGTGCCACAAAAATCCAGTCTTACCCCATATTCTATGGCCAGATCTGTGTGATCGTCGATGTCGACTTTCGCCATGGCGACGCGGCCTTTCTGTTTGGCGACGGCCTTCTCCAACCTCGGCCCGAGGATCTTGCAGGGACCGCACCACCTGAAAACAACAGTCAGCGTGTTCATTTACAAACAGACGGCAACAACGGCTACGACAAAGACAATAAGTAGAACAATCAGTTCAAATTCAACTTCAATAACCTTCAACATTTTATGAGCAATAAAAACTTGAACAATAATAATAATTGTGATTTTATGCAGTCATGTGGGACCTTGTATGAAAGACTAGTTAAAAACAAAGGAAAACTAAACAATAAAACTCACTGACAACACAGCGCCGGTGTTATTAATAGTCAGTGACTTCGCTTACAGGCTCAGTACGTTGTGACAAAGAGCTTGCGTGCACAATACAAGCTTTTCATTCAGTTAATTGACCTTCGTCAGAGCAGACGTTCTGGCTCGTCATATGAGGAAAAGCAAGAAAATTAATAAAAGGTTAAAAATGGCCACATTCCCTGAAGGCGAATGAGTTTCAGGGAAGTGCTGCTGTGCGCGCTGGCTCACTGTCACGGCTTACTGGGAAACTTGATGGAACCGAGCCATCCTAAATGAAATGTTTCACCTGGGCTGTTCCAGCACTGAAACGTCAAAACGTCTGGTGGAATATATACATATATATTTACACATGCTTTCTTACTA